TTAAATAAGTTTTTTAAACATTTTTTAAAAAAGGGATGCAATTTGAATAATAGATTTGTACTCGTATTAAATATCCAATTAATAATTTTTATCAATTGGCTAAGGGGAGATGTGTGTGTAAATTCAGTGTGTGTGTGTGTCTGTGTGTGTCTGTATGTTTAGTGTGTGTGTTGTGTGTCTGTGTGTGTATATTGTGTATGTAGCATATGGGTATGTGTGGATTTTGGTTTATTTGTATTATTATTATTATTTATTATCATTATTATTGTTAGAATTATTATTTATTATTATTACAAATTTTTTAATTTTCCAATGAAATTTTTTTTAAACAATTTTTGGGACGTGGTTTTAAAACCCTTTATAAGGCCCGGTGTAGTTTTGCTTAAAGTTTTAAAGGCTCATACCGGCAAAATGTAATTTAATTTATATTGCTTTGCTGGCTTACCGTCTAATAAATCGATTAATTATTATAGTTGTAAAATAATTTTGTTGATAAATATTAATTATTTTTTAATTATTTTAATAATAGTATTAATTTTATGGTTTGTTGAGTTTCAAGTCTTGCGCTCGCAAAGTTGTGGTTGCCAAGTAAAGAAGTTAGTAAATTCGTTTTCCAAGTGAGAATTTATTTTTTATTATAAAATAATTCTTACTATACCTGTATTATTTATTATTGCCTGATTAAATAAAATATTTGACATCAGTCAATCGATCAATCAATCGATCAATCATTCAATCAATCATACAAACAAACAAACAAACAAGCAAACAAAACAAGTTTTGTTTTAATTAGTTTTTCTGATCAGATCGATAAAGCTAATGAAGAACACTTTTCTTGACTCTTCCAAAATCATTTTTTAATGTAGCTGGGTTTTTTTGTAACTATATTTCATCTATTTATGCAGTTTTTCTTCCCCGGCTTTTGGCCTTCATAGGTACACTTCAAATAGGTACATTCCATATCAGTAAAGTTATTAAACATCTTCAAATATTTGAATTTTTATTTCAAATTTTTCCTGATTTTCAAACTTATGATTATGATATTTTTTTTTTACATTATTGATCTTTGGCTGATACTCAACCATTCTCTAACACGCCGTTTCAAGTGCCTCTAATTGTGTTTAATTATTCTTTTCTCCAAGTTTTGTGTGCGGTCTATAGATTCTGATATTTTTAACTTTGCTTCATAGAAAAATTATAATTTTTTTTAATCTCTTTCAAATGGTCAAATAATCGTCTAGCAATGGCATTCTTTTGTTGAAATCATTTAAGATTTATTAATTTTACGCCATTTTGTATTTAATCAACTTTTTTTAAGTTTACAGGTTAAAATCTTTTCACTTTATAATGCATATCTCAAAAAATAAATGATTGAGTATTAATTCCAGTTTCATTTCATACGTTGGATCGATAAATCCGCAATAAAAAAAAACCTCTTCCAGAATAAAAGGAGAATGGCTGCTTTAACAACATCAATCAGAACGATGATTCTTACAGCAATCATAATGATGATGGCAGGGACATTGGCCAAAAATCTAGATCGTGAAACTGATGAGGAAGTAGATCAATTGGAAGAAAATCTTCACGACAACTTCAACAAGAATAGTGGCTACCACACTGGCAGGTATATCATTTCGAAGCTTGTGGCCAAGGAAGTCGCTGCAGACACTGCGAATAAGACTGAAAGAGTGAAAAGAGCAGCAGCAAGTTGTGCCCTTTCATGGTTTTTAAAATAAAAAGATATAACAAATAATTAGTATTTAATAATATAATTACTAGTTATAATTATTATTAATTAATTGCCTATTCATTAATTATTAATTAATTAATAATGAAAAAATAATAATAAGCGGCAATATTTTATTCAGGAGGGGCGAACGGTGATTACTATTATGATCAAACAACATCACTGCCTTATAATTACGATGATCTTACGAAAACAGAGACAACTTCATCACAACATAGTCAAAATGCTAATTATCCAACATCAACAACAACAACAACACGTTATCATCGCTATCACTATAGAACATCGCCAGCGAATCAAGAAATTAGTTTCGTTGTAGTATATGAACCAACAACTACATCAAGCCCTCAGTACGGCCCCGATCAAACCACATCATCCCCGTATCATCATTACGATGATTATACAACTTCATCACCGTATCAAGGTGACAGGCAAACTACCCAAACGCCATACCGGGGTTATGAAGAACCAGCGCAGTCACCTTATTATCGTCATAATGATGATGATCAAACGTCACGATCGTCTTATCATTATACAAAATCATCGCCATTTCGTCGCACTTCTTCATCGGATTATTACTATAATGATTATACAACACCATCGAACCAACCAACAACATCATCACCAGATTATCATCATTATGATGGTTATACAACATCATCACCAGATTATCATTATGATGGTTATACAACGTCATCACCAGATTAT